CCGTTGATTCGGGTACTCCTTTTATAACTACATTTTGCTGGCGACTGAACCTAGTGCTCGTTGTTGTCACACATCTTTTGAGTGACTGAGCGTTCATCTCCAGTTTACTAGTTTCGCTGGTTTCGGATGAACTAGCTATTGGTCTATCGAAACTGAGATCCGTGTACGATTCATTTATCTTCCTGTTGATAACCCTTCCTTCTGTGTTTCCGAGGTATTCGTCGAAAAAGTTTACCTCAGTTTCCTTCAAAACCTCCTCCTGAATATTCGGTCCACAAGGTGTTCCGATATCTTTATTGTTTAACATATTTGAAAGCCTCTGGCGGTCCTTTGTAGGCTTCCTGGTCGTTCTCCTTCGCTGGTCTGCGTGTACGTAGGCAGCCTTCGTTTTTTTGGATCGTACAGAGGTGCGCGTTGTTTTTCTGGAATGTTTCTTTGTTATCTGAGTTCGCTTTGGCTGGTCTTTTTCTCGCCTGAGAGACTGGCATTCAACTGTGTCTAGTTCCCTGGACGAACAAGGCGAACTTATTTTTAAGTGAACTCGGGATCCAGCAGCTGCATTCTACTGCAAAAAAATGAGGGAGGTGCAGCGGCAGAAATGCAAGGGTTTGCTTAACGTAGACGCAACTGCCCCACCACGGCTGTCTTGACGATCATTTCGAATGCAATTATAGCCTAGAAGAGAGAGTTCGGAGTCAGCTACGGAGGCTGGTGCCCATGTCTCATTTAATAAAACAATATCTGGACGATGGACGAACAACAGAGTCTGAACCAAAGCATCTTATTTAGCAAGGATCTGGCGTTTAGAACAAAAGGTTTGAGGGGAAAGGCTGTTTGTTTCTGAGGGTGGGGGGCTACGTCGTCCAGCGCTTTGCTGCCCACGGAACACACGGTCTGGATGTACCCATCCGGTTCTGCAAAAACATTTCTGACATCAAAAGATTCTGACGTGGATAAAAGGGGTAGGAATTGGGGGAGGAAAGGGCGGGCAGGGAAGAAGGTAAAGATTGTTATTTGACTCATTTTCAGCTGGAAATCCACGGGCCATATACTGCAACGTATTCCCGCCGGAATGAAACTGAGGATCGGATGACTTAGCTGACCCAGTGTGGACATTAGCATGAGAAGTGCATTGGTAAAGCGGCCGCGGAGGAAACATGTTAGGGGGTGGGGGACGGAGTGTATCCATTGGAACAAGAGTTCTATTAAAAGGCGGTAATGTCGGTATATTCGGCCTAACCGCCTTGATATGAGGACTGGGGGGGCAGTTGGAAATACGCTACGTTTTGAGTCTGGATGTTTGAGGCACTGTTAGCTGACTGTGGAAGAAAACATTTCATAATGGAGCTGGATTTACCCGATGACCAAGTGGCTGAGACGGCAATTGGATGCACCATAGACTTCGGCACATGCTAAGGCTTGTTAGGGGTTGCTGGAGGAGTTGGTAGAGGCGTGTTTTTACCAGACGTGTTGGTGAGTTTAAAGATTTCGGCATCAAGAGTAGTCGAATTCCCTACGGAATTGACTATGCCGTGACATGCAGAGGCCGCAGATGCTGTTGTAGAAGACTTATTCATACTGACAATAGGTGTCATCATCTCGGTGTTGGTTTTTGACAATTTCAATTTGTTCGGTCTTCGCTTCAATTATGTGAGGCCTGGCGAAACGGAGCAGTGCCACTTACGGCAGAATTCTCCAGTTACCTCCCTCCTCAACAAGATAAGATCGACTTCAAGCAAGGAGAAAAGGGTAACTAGTATTGGCGCATTACGACTGAGCGAGAGCAGTCGTTTAGCTTGTGCGACTGGGAAACCGAAGCCACATCTTTGCAGGAACAAATGCGCCCCCTCTATAGCAGATAAGTGACATGGAGTGTTTCGCAGTAGAAAATTATGTTTGCGATTTATTCTCTCCTCAGTTCCAGAACTTATTACTCCAATAACCTTAAACGCCTGTTCAATGACTTTTTCAG